GGAAGTGGTGTGACTCCACTTCCCTCTGGTTTCCTGTTGGTCAGCTCGATGATGCCAGGGAAGCCTTAAAGCCACATGTTGACAATAGAAGGTGTCTTGGTCCCTGAATCACTGTGTGGTGCAGAGCTTCCTGATGCCACACACAGACATACCTATGAGTGAGAAAAAAACTCATCCTTTGCTAAGCCACTGAGATAGTGTACATTTGCGAAATCAGCTACGTTTAACCTAGGCTAACTTACATCTTGAGATACAAAGAGATCATACAACTCTTCTAGGGTCAGAAGGCTGCTGGGGACAAACCGAGGTGATAAGCCTTAGCAGTTGGATCTCAGAGCCTGACTCTTATCTGATACCAAGCACTCCTCCCCCAGTAGCAGTGAAGAGTGGGTTGAGTCAGAAGCACAGAGGGACCATAGGCCACAGGGCTCCATAGCCACCCAGGTCTCCAGGGAGGTCACAACAACAAACTCCCACTGACTGGCAGAAGCAGTGGGCCCCTCACTGTCTGCAGGCTGCAGTGCCTCCCACCTACTTGGCTCTAGTCTACCCATGCAGGTGGGTACATATAGAGAAACAAGACACACTTAAAATTGCCTAAAGATATAGTTTGTATCCAGATTGCAATCAATCTGCCCTAAAGAACAGGTACTACAAGTGAGAAAATTGAGAAAATTCAGCTCTGATAACACATTTATCATAATTTTAAATATTAAGATGTGTGATTAAAGTTATTGAGTTTATGAAAGAGCTCTTAGATTTTAGAAACACATTCTGAAGAGATTATGCATTAAAATACGTGATGTCTAGGATTGTAAGTGAAATAATATACTAATGTGCATGGGGTAGATGAAACAAGACCAACTATGAAGGGATAAATAATGATGGAAGATTGCAAAAACACTGCAGCCACTGTCCCCTACCAAAATAGCATTTATTTTGTTGTTCTCTTTTTGAGATGGATGTCAGATGCCAAAAGGAATTGAATATGGTACGATATGGAGTAAGACACATTAAGTAAAGTGTTGCTCCATGAACTAGACACAATATTTAGCTATACAGGTGTTGTCAAACCTGAAGTGAGTTCGCTCGGCCGTTGCGCAGCAAGGCAATCTCTGACACCAGGTGTAGTGGAAGAAAGTGGGAGTTTTATTACAAAGCGCTGAGCAAGGAGAACGGGTAGCTAATGCTGTAATCTCAAACTCCTGGAAGAGCTCCAAGCAAGGTTTCTTATTTGGGGTTTTAGGTAGGAGAGGGGAGCGTGTGGCTAAAGTTTGCAATCTATCATTGTAGCGCCCAGTGCTTCTGGGACATGCTTAGTCACACGGGGGCTGTCAGCAAGCTGCTCTCTTAGAAGTGGTCCTCTGCCTGTTCTGGAAGGCAGGCTCCAAAACTTTATTTTGTTTCCCACATCAACCTTGTGGGTACAAGGGATGGTTTCACCCTAATCCAGGGAAATTTTAACCCCTTCACTCTTAAGTTTCACAGGCAGGAGGCAAGTTTTCTGTGGGAACCACTGTCAGAGATCCATCTGTGTACTCCTGCGTCAAGGGGGCCCAACGTCCATCCCGTGCCTTCCTTGTCATGACACTATCCCACTATCCAGAGTATTTCTTTTGTCTTGATCAAACCTACTCAGACTGACGATACTTTATCAGCTGAAGTTTCCAGTGGCTCCCTTATGTGTCTAAGTGACTCTATGCCTTGGTATGTACATTTGGATTGACGGGTTTGACGACATCTCGAGGGATATTTGTAGACTCTGGGAACATGGTGAGCTTCACAGAGTCTGAAAAAATGTCTCCAAACCCTCGGGCGATCAGTTGCAGACAGTCCTCAAACTTCTGAGTACGGCCCCTTTAAGAAGCAAAGCCGCTCCTGGGCCTTTGGAATAGAGCTGCCATTTCCCAGCGCCCCTCACGGTGTGGCCTCCCCTTTTCTGCGGGACTTCCGATACGGAGCGTCCTGGGTGGGTTGCTGTGGATTATGGGAGATGCATTACCCAGAGGGCTGTGCGACCTCTGGCAGTGTCTGTCAGCCAATTAAGTCAGAGAGACGGCGCGTTTCCACGGGAGGCGGTACCGTCGGGGCGGGACTTGCGGCGTCTGAGTTCTGGGCATCGTGTTGGCTTTGCGCTGGTGTTCCCACAGGTCTCTCACTGGTCCCTCACAGGTCCGTTGTCCCGGAGCATTGGGTCGCGGCTGAGGTGACAGGACTGAGAAGGCGTGAGAGGAGGCGCCGTCCCCGCTGCATAGGGCGGGTTTGAGGCTCAGGGACGCCGCCCGCAAGACCTGCGCCAGGGCCGGGACAGGGACCACCGTGCCCGCGTCCCCTCCTCTCCCGCGGCTCCTGGCCCCGCTCCGCCCCTGGAGTCCGATGGCGGCGGCCGTGCCGAGGGAGCCGGCTCAGGTCAGTGCTCGTGCTCCGCGCCCTCCCCGCCCTCAGCCCAGCCCAGCCCTAGAGCCCCGAGTGCGGGCGCCGCTCACGGGCCTGCAGCCCAGGCCCCGGTGTCCGCGACGGGGAGGCGCTCGTGGGGCCTGTTTCTGAGAGCCGGGGTGACGGGTGTGGGAGAGGGTCCCAGGGGAGGGCCCGCGGGGGAGAGGCGTGGAGGGCGACTCAGCCGGGAGGAGTCGGGGACCTGGGGTCCGTGTTCTGTGTGGAGAGAACACTGTGAGGAGGAGTGTTGCCTGGACTGGAGGCTGAGAGGCGGTTCTTTCAATCCGAGGGCCCTGGGAGCCGTGGAGGGTTGTGAACAGAAGAGGGACACAGTGTGTGTTAGAGTTTTAAAAGATTTCCGAAAGCTGTTCAGTGAGAGAACAGAGTGGAATGGGGGTGATGAGGACAGTGAGGCACAGGGATTTGAGTCCTCGTCCAAGGTCATAGAGCTGGTAAGAGGCAGCTGTGAGGACTGAGGCACGGAGATTAATAAGTGAACCCGAGGTGACCAAGTTCCAGGGCTGGGCTGGGATACAGGGGAGGCCTGTGCACATTTAGGGTAGCCATGGGTGTTTGCCTGTTCCTGCAGCTTCTGACAATAGAAAAAGCATTTATGAAACTTACACAGGGAAGAAGAGAGCATTCCAGTTCCTCAGTGGCCCTCACACCACCTATGTCAGGGATTTTGGTGACTTAAGTCTCTTCCTTTGCTGTATTTCTGGCTTTTGGGAGTAGGGATTCTGGTGATACTCTTAAGCCCAGGGTCCATAGTGAGGCCAAGGGTAACATGTAGGTGTTCCCATTTCTGAAAGTTGGTGTAAACAGGTGAGAAAGGTTATCCCAGGAATGGATACCAGCATGTGCAAATATTTGGAGATGTGACTGAGTTGGAGATAGGGGACAGCAGTTCTCCATCGTTTCTGTTAAGAACATAGAGTCGGCAGTCTAGGAAAAGGACTGTAATGTGGCTGCCTGAGAAGTTGGGCATGTGTTTGGGAAGCAATGGGAGGTTTGGATAAGAGGAGGGAGTTGGTTTTACCCTGGTTTAACAGGCTGCATCTGGCTGCAGGGTGGAGACTAGATTTTGGGGTTAAGGGAGGAGGCAGGGAGCCCAGGAGGAGACAATTTCCATAACCCAGATTAGTGTTTATGGAGCAGAGTGGTGGCCATAGAGGTGAGCAAGAAGTTGGACACTTTGTCCATTTTTTTAAGAAGCGTTGTAGGTGAGGGAGAGGAAGGGGAGAGTCGAGGATGACTGCAGTGTCACCAGTCTTAGTAGCTGAAGGGGTGCAAGCTCCAGGTGGGATGTGGAAGTTACTCACAGATTAATTTTTCTTGGGAGTATCACAAGCTTCTCTTGGCCCTGTTAGGAGTCTGAGGTTTCAGAGAACAGTGAGTGGAGGCATCAAATGGGCAGCTGGACACAGGTCTGGAAATCTGAGGAGGGGTTCAGGATGGAGACATTGAAAAGTGGTGGATGTTGTGTGGACCAGGAAGGAGCTTCGTGTTACATTTAGTTGGGGATGCAGGTCATCGTGGCAATGCTGTTAGCTGGTCAGAAAGGAGGATGCATGATGAGGAGTGGTTTTCTTGTTCTCCACTTAATAAGGTGCAAAGGTGCACACAAACCTGGGTGAAGGGGAGAAGTGGTCATGGTGACTGTATGGAAGAGAACATGGTCTGGCAGGTGACTAAGGCTTCCGTGGGATGAGTGGACATGAGATGGCTGTGGAGGCAGAGGAGTAACTGAGACAAGATGACACTGAGGCCAGGGCACCTGTTCCTTCACTAATGTACAGCTTCACCAGAATTTTCACTAGAATGGGGCCTGGGGTGTTCAGTGTTGATGGTGGATAAGGTATAGGGCAAATGTGGTCATCTGTGAGAGTCACTGTGCCTGACACAGAGACCGTCAGGGCTGGAGTTTTTAAGGAAGGTCGTGTGGAAAGAGGAGGGTTGTGGTCTGTGAGGAGACAGGAAGTGCAGCACAGAAGTGGAAGTAGGTCATGGGCGTCTGTAGTTCACACGTGCTTCTTAGTGGCTAATATTGAAGCAAGGATCAGAGGTATAGAGGAGGCCTTCAAAGCAGCATTTGCAGATTTTCTTAAATGCCTAGCTGTGGGAGTGCAACTGTGGGCACTGAAGATGTGAGAGAGGTACAATCTACAGAATGATGTGCACATGGAGAGGACGTGTGAGCTGATGGCCCTAGGGCCGTGGTGTTGGAGACTGAAGGGTGAAGCACGGGCCCATGTTTTGCTGTGTCCTGGAGTCCAAATCTGGAGACTCCAGGGGAATTGATTGACAGGATGGGTGGGACCCTACAGGCCAGGACCAGAGCTTGGATGACGTCTCTGTGCCCCCCTGCCTGATGTTTCTGAGGGCTGAACACAGTGAATAAAGGGACCCTGAGGATAGGGTGGGAATCAGTGGCACCTAGGCCAGAATTCCTTTGAGGTGGGGAGCTCTGGAGGAGGATGAGTGTGGAGTAGATGTGTGGGGAGATGGATTGTGGGATCCCAGAGAGAGAATGTTGATGGTTTCATCTGTCCCGATCATAACAGGACAGTGTGACCTTTCACGATGTTGCCGTGTACTTCTCCCGGAAGGAATGGAGGCTCCTTGATGAGGCTCAAAGACGCCTGTACCTGGATGTGATGCTAGAGAACTTTGCACTTGTATCCTCACTGGGTAAGACTCTCACAGCCTCGCCAGAGACCTAGACTAGGCTCTATTCCCCCCTCCACAGCCCTTCTCAATCGTTTCATGTGGACAATGGACACTAATTGCTTTCTCAGTTTTCTGGGTCGTTGCTATCTTGCTAGGGCTGGGGTGTTTGCCCTGCCCTCTTCTCTCCCTTTCAACCCCAATACCTGCTGTACGGAACCCTCGTAGGAAAGGATTCCAGGTTTGTAGTGTTGCAGTGAGCTTAATGGATTCCACCATACTTGCCCCCTCTCTGGAGCACTGTATCCAGATCCATATCACTTCTGTGTCCCAGGTTTTGATCCCTTCTTTTCCCTGACATTTCCTCATGCCTGCTTCTGCCAGGCATGCAGACATTGTCATGGTCACTACTTACCTGAAGCATGGGATAGTTTTCAACACCTCCTGCATGGTTTGTCGTGTTTAGATCTGTTTTCCTTTTGCTTTTTCAATGTTGTCTGGCTGTAAAATTATATACATTCATCCCTTGGTATTCATGGGGGTGTTGGTTCCAGGACCCCTCTCATGGATACCAAAACCTAAAGATGCTCCAGTTCCTCTTGCAAAATGGCATAGTCCTTGCATATAATCTACGCCCAGTCTCCTATATACTTGAAATCATTTCTAGGTTACTTTATAATACCTAGTACAATGTAAATGCTATGTAAATAGTTGCCTACACATCACTTCATTCGTGTGGATTCACCGTAGTGCTCGGTGCCTGGCAAATTTAAGGTTTGTTTTTTTGAAACTTTCTGGAATTTTCTTTTTTCAAATGTTTTTGATCCCTGGTTGGTTCAATCCATGGATACGGAATCCTCGATACGGAGGCCAACTGTATATTAAAATGTACAACGTGATGATTTGATATATTTGTGAAATAATTGCCACAATGAAGTTAATTAAACATCCATCACCTCATACAGTTACTTTATTGTGTTATTTTTGTTAAGAATGCTTAAGATCTACTTTCAGTAAATTTCAAGTATACAGTAGAGTATTATTAAGTATAATCATCATGCTGTACATTACATCCTCAGAGCTTACTCATCTAATAACTGCATGTTTGTACCTTTGACCAACGTCTCCCCATTTCCCACATGCCTCAGCTCCTGGCATTCTACTCTCTGTTTCCATGATTTTTATTTATTCATTTAGGTTTTACATTCCAACCAGAGTGAACAAGGGTTCCCTTACATCTACACCCTCACCCACACTTGTTATCTCTGCTCTCTTTGATGGTAGCCATTTTATCAGGTGTGAGGTGATATCTCACTGTGGTTTTGATTTGTCATTTTCCCGATGGTTAGTGAGGAAGAGCATTTTTTCATATACCTGCTGGCCATTTGTGGATCTTCTTTGATAAAACGTCTACTCAGGTCCTTTCCCCATTTTTAATGGGATTGTTCTGTAGCTATTGACTTGTACGAGTACTTTATGTATTTTAGATATTAACCCCTCGTGAGATACAACATTTGCAAACATTTTCTCCCTTTTCATTTTGTTGATTGCTTCCTTTGCTATGCAGAAGCGTTTTAGTTTGATGTAGTGCTCCCTGTTTATTTTTGCCTTTGTTGCTTGTGCTTTTGGTGTCATATCAAAAACGTCATTGCCAAATCAATGTCAGGGAGCTGTTCCTCTGTTTTTGTTCAAAGAATTTTACGTTTTCTTGTCTTACTTTTAATTCTTTGATCCATTTCAAGTTAATTTTTGTGAGTGATGTAAGGTAGGGTCTTACTTCCATTTATTTTGCACGTGCATATCCAGTTTTGCCACCACCATTTATTGAAGAGAATATCCTTTCCCCTTGTGTATTCTTTTTTTTTTTTTTTTAAAGATTTTATTTATTTATTTTCTTTTCCCCCCCAAAGCCCCAGTAGGTAGTTGTATGTCATAGCTGCACATCCTTCTAGTTGCTGTATGTGGGATGCGGCCTCAGCATGGCCGGAGAAGCTATGCGTCGGTGCGCGCCCGGGATCCGAACCCGGGCCTCCAGCAGTGGAGTGCGCGCACTTAACCGCTAAGCCACGGGGCCGGCCCTCCCCTTGTGTATTCTTGTCACCCTTGTTAAAAAGTAGTTCATTATATGTGTGTGGGTTTATTTCTGGGCTCTGTATTCCATTTCACAGGTCTGTGTGTGTGTTTTCAGTACCATACTGTTTTGATTACTGTTTTATAATGTGGTCTGAAATCATGAAGTGTGATGCCTCTAAATTTGATCTTCTTGATCAAGATTGCTTTGGCTATTCAAGGCCATTTGTGGTTCAAATTTTTGGATTCTTTTTCTATTTCTGCTAAAAATGCCATTGGAATTTTGGTAGAGATTGCATTGAATCTGTAGGTTGCTTTGGGTAGTAGAGGTATTTTAACAATCATAATTCTTTCAATCCAAAAACATGGACTATCTTTCCCTTTATTTGTGTCTTCAGTTTCTTTCATCAGCCTCTTAGACTTTTCAGTATACAGGTCTTTTGCCTCCATGGTTAAATTTATTCCTAAGTGTTTTATTGTTTTACATGCTGTTCTACGGGGGACTGATTTCTTAATTTCTTATTGAGATATTCCATTGTTAGCATATAAATGCAACTGATTTTTGTGTGTGTGTTTTATGTTTTGCAAGTTTAGTGAATTCATTTAGTTATTTTATTTTATTTTTTTTGGTGAAGAAGATTAGCTCTGAGCTAACATCCGATGCCAATCCTCCTCTTTTTGCCTGGGAAGATTGGCCCTGGGCTAACATCTGTGCCCATCGTCCTCTACTTTATATGGGACGCCGCCACAGCATGGCTTGACAAGCAGTGCATTGGTGCGTGCCCAGCATCCGAACCTGCAAACCCTGGAGCTGCCAAAGCAGAGTGCGTGCACTTAACTGCCTGTGCCACTGGGCCACCCCCCATTTATTCATTCTGACTGTTCTTTAGTGGAGGTGTTATGATTTTCTTTATATAAGATCATGTCATCTGCAAATACAGACAGTTTTACCTCTTTTTTCCTGATTTGGATACCCTTCATTTGTTTTTCTTCCCTTATTGCTCTGGCTAGGACTTCCAGTACTATTTTAAATAGTTGTGAGGATGGCAGATACCCTTGTCTTGTTCCTAATCTTAGAGGAAGAGCTTTTACCTTTTCATTGTTGACTATGCTGGAGCTGTCAGCTTATCACATACGTATGGCCTTTGATATTGAGGTACATTTCTTCTACACCTAATTTTTTGAAAAGTTTTATCATGAAAGGATTCTGAATTTTGTCAAATGCACTTTCTGCATCTAGTGAGATGATCATATGATGTTTTGCCTTCATTCTGTTAATGTGGTATAGCACATTTATTGATTTGCATATGATGAACTACCTTGCGTCCCAAGGATAAATCCCACTTGGTCACAGGTTATGATTCTTTTCATGGGCTGTTGAATTTGGTTTCCTAGTATTTTATTGAGGTTTTTTACATCTGTGGTCATCAGGGATGTTGGCCTGTAAATTTCTTTTCTTGTAATTTCCTTTTGTGGCTTTGGTATCAGGTTACTGCTGGCCTCCTAAAATGAGTTTGGAAATGTTCCTTTGTCTTCACATTTTTGGACGAGTTTAAGAAAAATTGATATTAATCCTTCTTAAAATGTTGGTAGAATTCATCAGTGAATCTATCTGTTCATGGCCTTTTCTTTCTTGGGAGATTTTTGATTACTGATTTAGTTTCCTTACTTGCTATTGGTCCACTCTGATTTTCTGTTTCTTCATGATTCAGTGTTGGTAGGTTGTACGTTTCTAGAAATTTATGTTCCTTCTAGGTTATCTAATGTGTTGGCGTATAACAGTTCATAGTAATCTTAGGATCTATTTTTGTTTCTGTGCTGTCGGTTATAGTTCCTCCTCTTTTAATTCTGAGTTAATTTATGAGTTTTTTGTACTCTGTTAGTCTAGCTAAATATTTGTCTATTCTGCTTATCTTTTTAAAAAACTAGCTCTTAGTATTGTTGATCTTTTTATTGCTTTTAGAATTTCTTTTTTTATTCATTTCTGCTCTGATCTTTGTTTTGTTCTTTGTCCTGCTAACTTTGGTCTTAGTTTGTTTTTCTAGTTCCTTGAAGTGTAAAGTTAGGTTGTTTGAGATCTTTCTTTTCTCTGAACACCACCATTTATCACTCTAAAGTTTTTACTTAGAACTGCTTTTGTGGGCCAGCCCCATGGCTTAGCCGTTAAGTGAACGTGCTCCGCTGCTGGCGGCCCGGATCCCGGGCGCGCACTGACCCACTGCTTCTCCAGCCATGCTGAGGCTGCGTCCCACATACAGCAACTAGAAGGATGTGCAGCTATGACATACAACTATCTACTGGGGCTTTGGGGGGAAAATAAATAAATAAATAAAATTATAAAAAAAAACAAACAAAAACAACTGCTTTTGCAAGTTCTATATGTTTTGTGTTCGTTTTCGTTTGTCTCAAGATATTTTTTGATTTTCCTTTGACCAATTGATTTGTGAAGGGTGTGTTGTTTAATATCCATATATTTGTGAATGTTTCAGCTTTCATCCTGTTACTGATTTCTAGTTTTATCCATTGTCTTAGTAAATGGTACTTGATATGATTTCAGTCTTCTGAAATTGGTTAAGACTCGTTTGACATAACATGATCTGTCCTCAAAATATTCTGTGTGGACTTGAGAAGAATGTGTATTCTACTCTGGTAGGATGGAATGTTCTGTATATGTCTGTTAGATGCATTTGGATTAAAGTGTCATTCAATTCAAATATAGCCTTATTAATTTTCTGTCTGGATATCCACCGATCGATGATGAAAGGGGGGTATCGGAGTTCCCTCTGAATATTCCACTGCTGTCTTTTCTGCGTTTTTTTCTCATCTGTTTGTATTTGCCTAATACTTAATTTAGATACTCTGGTGTATGGTGCATTTATACATACAACTGGTACGTTCTCTTGATGAATCGACCCCTTTATCATGATATAACGACCTTGTTTGTCTCTCATGACAGGTTTTGACTTAAAGTCTATTTTATCTATTATAAGTATAGCTACACCTGCTACTTGGTTTTGATTTGCGTGGGATATCTTTTTCAAACCCTTCACTTTCTGCCTGTGTGTGTCCTGAAGGTTGAAGTTACTGTATTATAAGCATTGTATAGTCAGACCTTTTTTTTTTCCATTAGTCACTGGTTTGTGTTTTTTTTAATTGGAAAAATTTCTTAGGACCTACATTTGGCATTTGTTAAATATTGTCTGGCTGTTTCCTGATTCCTTAGTTCCTTTCTTCCTCTCTTGTCTCACTTTGTGATTTCTCGTTGTGGTATGCTTTCATTCCTTTCTCTATCTCTCTTGTGTATCTATTATAGGTTTTTGTTTTGTGGTTACCATGAGGCTTATATTGGACATCTTATATTTATAGTGTTCTATTTTAAGCTCATAACAACTTAACTTTGATCACATGCAAGAACTCTACTCTTATACCCCCACAAAAACTCTACTCTTTTATACCCCCCCATTTTAAAACCCCATTTTATGTTTTTGATGTCACGATTTACATCTTTTTATATTGTGTAACCATTAACAAATTATTGTGGGTATAGTTACTTTTCATACTCTTTATTTTTGATCCTTTATACTAGACTTCAGTGATTAAGACACTATTATAGTATTAGAGTATTGGAATTTGACTGTATACTTACCTTTGCCAGTGTATTTTATAGTTTCATGTTACTGATTAGTGTACTTTCATTTCAGCTTCAATCTCTCTGGTGTATTTCTTGTTGGGTAGGTCAAGTGGTGATGAACTCCGTCAGCTTCTATTTGTCTGGGAAAGTCTTTTTCTCTCCTTCATTTCTGAAGGGCTGCTTGGCTGGTAAAATATTCTTGGTTTGCACTTTTTTTCTTTCAGTATTTAGAACATCATTCTCCCGTCTCCCAGTATGTAGTATTTGAATTAAAAACCACTCATATCCTTATGAGAGTTCCCTTATATAAGATGAGTTTCAGGGCTGGCCCGGTGGCTTAGTGGTTAAGTGTGCACGCTCTGCTACTGGCAGTCCAGGTTCGGATCCTGGGCGCACACTGACGTACCGCTTCTCCGGCCATGCTGAGGCCGCGTCCCACATACAGCAACTAGAAGGATGTGCAACTATGACATACAACTATCTACTGGGGCTTTGGGGGGAAAAAAAAGGAGGAGGATTGGCAATAGATGTTAGCTCAGAGCCGGTCTTCCTCAGCAAAAAGAGGAGGATTAGCATGCATGTTAGCTCAGGGCTGATCTTCCTCACACGCACACAAAAAAAGATGAGTTTCTTTTGTCTTACACTTCAGAAGTGAGTTTTATTATGTGTCTTGGTGAAGTCCTCTTTTGATTGAATTTTTTTGGGGACTTATGAGCATCATATATCTGGACGTCCACTTCTCACCCCAGACTTGAGAAGTTTTCATCCATGATTTCAGTAAGCTTTCTGCCCCTTCCCTCTGTCTTCTTCTCAGGCTCCCATAATGCAAACATTGTTTTGTTTCATGATGTCCCATAATTCATGTAGGTTTTCTTCACTCTAGTTCTTTGGTCTTGGTTGTTCCTACTTTCACATTCATTCTTTTGACAGATCAAGTTGGCGATTGGTTCTCTCTCTTGCATTTTTGCATTCATTATAGTCTTCTGCACCATCATTTCTGTTTCGTTCTTTTTTATATTTTCTATTTCTCTGTTGAAAATCTCATTTTGTTCACATATTGTTTTCCTTTTTTGTTGGATTGTCTATTTCTGTTTTCTTGTAGATTGCTGACCTTCCTTGAAGCGATTATTTTGAATTCTTTGTCTGACAGTTCATAGATCTGTATTTCTTTGGAATGACTGATAGCTTATTGTGTTCCTTTGGGGGTGTCATGTTTTCTTGATTTTTGTACTTCTTGTAGCCTTGTGTTGATGTCTGTAAATTTCATGGAGCAGTCACTTCTTCCAGACTTCACAGAAAGGTTTTGGTGGGGAAGGTCTCCATCCGTGTGTGGGTGTGAGTGTGTCATCTTGATGGGGTGTGACATTTCCCACTACAGGAAGGCCCAGTGGCCTAGTATCTGTGCAGCTCTGTCACCTGAAGTCAGCAGTGGAGAATGTTGCTGGGGACCTCCTGATCTCTTTCTCTCACAGGAAATATGTTGACTGAGCGGCTCCCTTTTGATGCCAAGTCTGGCTCCTTGGTGCCTTCATGGTGGTGGTGGCATGGGTGTCTGATGTGCAGACACCTGTGGTACAGGTGTGGATCTGGGTTCTAGGGTGTGTACGGATGCGGAGCTATAGCAGTTCTTGGGTCCCAGATGCTGAATAGCCTACAGCGGCATTGACTTCACTGTGTAAGATGCAGTCACATCCTGAGCAGTGGTGGAGCCTGTGATCAGAGTACGGGTGAACACAGAGAGACAGAGTCTTTGGGGTCTGAGGAGCTGGCTAGCCCACAGCAGCCGTGGCTCTGGTGTCTGAGGTACAGGTGCTTGGGTGACAGTCATGCAGTCAGGTTATGGATTATGGGCAACCATGGAGCAGTTGTGGCTCTGGTGTCTGGGATGTGTGCAGTGTTGAGAGGGGTGGCAGTCCTGGTCCCAGAACAGAGAAATAACTCCTTCTTTTGTGGGGCGGCCAACTCAGCATATTATTCTCTGGCAGATGTCCCATGGCGATAGCTATTGGTTACTTTAGTGTGAAAGCTGCCAGTGTCTCTGCAGGTCAGGCAGCTGGGGTCCACACCTGTACACACTTGGCGTCCTCTGCTGTGCACACTGTGGGTTCAGCAGTTGTAGCAGGGGCTGTGGAGGTTCTCTGCAGCAGAGGCTGCTGGGGTCCTCTGCAGAGCAGGCCATTGGTGACTGTGATGGCATCTGCCTTTTGGCTGATAACACACAGCCCCTGCTGTTCTTAGTTCCTGTTTGTCTGCAGGTGTCTTCACTAAGTCAATGCTCCCAGTGATATCTTTTTTGTTTTTTTGAGGAAGATTGGCCCTGCACTAATATCTATTGCCAATCTTCCTCTTTTTTTTTTTTTTCCTCCCCAAGGCCTCAGTCTATAGTTGTATATCATAGTTGTAGAGTTGTAGCTCTTCTATATAGGATGCCACCTCAGCCTGGCTTGATGAACCGTGAGTAGGTCTGCGCCCAGGAGCTGAACTGGCAAACCCCAGGCTACAGAAGCTAAACTTGCAAACTTAATAGCTATACAACTGGGCTGTGCCCCCCCCCCCCGGCCCC